CGTGTCACTCTTCATCCAAAGGACTTCATCAGGCTGAAGAGCCACAACAACATCAGTCCCACAAGCAGCACAATCTCATAGTGGGCCAACCAGTTTGATGGAGATAAGATGTCCAGCCCACTATGTGAGTGTGCTGCTTGTAGGACTGATTTTGTTGTGGCTCCTCAGACTGATGAAGTACTTTGGATGAAGGATGAAACTTAAAAAAAAAAAAACATCCAGATGCCATGACATCTTTGTTGGATTTTTTTTTTTACCTGTATTATCGAGCATGAACCTTGATCAACCTTGACCTTGAACTAGATCTGAGCTAATATTTGGTGTGGTAGTAGCTGAGACTCATCCTCAGTACATAGTCTGAACACTACTCACACGTCTTTGTTTAAAAGTCAGGGAAGGCACAGAAGCTTGTATGTGTCAATACATGGACAGAAGTTGTGGTAAATGCTTATGGGGTGATGGTGCGTCAGCTGTGCTGTACGCTGCACTGTGCATGGCCCCGCTCCGCTCCTCCTTTGTTTCTACACTCGTCAGAGGGAACAGGGGTTTGTCAAACACTGTTTGCTTCACTCCAGCGCTCCATTGTCTCCGCTTGAGCAGATTAATATTTGATGCTGCACAGTTTGAGAACTCAGATGTCCATCTTTTGAAATTACTTTGTCTCCACTGCCTTTCCTGAGATTTGAGCACCAGTCAGGCTCGGTGCCACACTGTGCACGGGAGGGTTCTTTTATTTTATCTCTGCATAGCACAAATGGATGTTGAGTTAGCAGCTGCTCGGTGGTGATAAATTATCCCGTGTAGGAGGGGGAAAGTGACAGGCGGTCAACTGCTAAAGAACTTCCACCGGCTTACGGCTGTGTTTTAACTTTGTCGGCCTCGTGTAGGAGTTGGCCTGCAGGAAGACTTATTAGTGCGGAGAATGAAATCTTTATAGAGCAATTTTTTATTTTTTTATGGCTAAAGACAGATGGTGGGAAAGGAAGGATGGGCAGGAAATAAGGTGGCGGCTCATTCATCTTCTCAATCACCTTCCAATTCTTGCTAATTGCAACTTATTATTAGATACCTTTGTTCGGAGTGAGAGTTTCTGGAATCTTGCGATAATTTTATGCATCTTGAGAAATTTGGGTTTGAACACACTTTCAGCTTTCCTTTTCTGATTTTTGCATGCACGACTCTGAAGCCTCGGGTGGTTTTTATTTATGACAACCCATTCCTTTACACTGTTTGCTCTCCTGGCATCCTAAAAGACAGCCGTTACCATAGCAATGGCATGGCCCCGGTGACTGAGCTGCAGCAGAGGGGCGGATAGATTCTGCTGAAAGATGAACCGATAGATTCAAATGTTCATATTAGCACATTTCTTCTCCCGATCCTGCTTTTCTTTTAGCAAACTCGTTCACCTTTTTCAGGTGGTTGTGTTCTTCATAATACACAAACACGCTCGTGCAAGGAACTCATGAAGTAGGACGAAAGGATAAAAGTAATCAATCCTGCTTTGTAACTGTGACGTTCACGTGCCCTATCTGCACGTATCCTTCTTATTGTCTGGGAACACGGTGTCGGTGTGAAATTACAGATCAGCCGCTCAGAGAAGGAGCACTCTTTGAAAGTATATGATCAGGAAACGCTGAGCAAAATATAGCCACACGATAAATCTGATGTCACAACGCCTAATAATGAGTGATTTACAGTTATAGCCGAAGACGGATAGCTATTTTTAGCTAATTCATCATATCTGACCTTTATCAAGGACACTGTAATCACTTCCTCCATAAATAAAAAAATATGATAGATGACATTATGGATGTAGGGATCTGAAGTGACAGCAGGAAGAAAGAAGACGAGAAGCTGGAGGAATGTGAAGAGCGGGAGAGAAAGTCGAGTAGTTGTGTAAAGGAGAGGCCACGGTGGTCATCAGAGCACTCAGGGATGAGACCCCCACACAGAGAGAGAGACTCCAGCAAATTCTTAGAAAAAGCATGAGATCTTTGTCAAGAGGACGTATTAGAACAGCTAAGACACTGAGGAGAAACCTCAAACTCCTGAGCATGAAGGGCTGTCGCCCACATGGGAGGCCATAGTTAAAAAATTTATATACATACTTTATGCTCTGAATACCTTTATCAGCGAAGGACAGAAGTCTGAGCTTCCTGAGTGTGTCTCACTGCTGAATCTCTGTTTACGTTTTTGTCCGACCTTCATTAAGTCTGCTGATGAAGCAGAAAATGAGCTCTTTGATCACTGGATTTCTCAGCTCTGAAATGTGGAGAATATTGGTGTGATGCTTTCTCTATTTAAATAAGGTCCTGGGGCCTCACTTGTGAAACAGTGTGCAGAATCCATTCTTTTTTTCTAGGTGCTCATGTTTAAGCTTAACGTGAAATACTGCAAAAATAATCTGTTTTGTAAAAACAAGTCACAATCCAACTCAGAGGGACGATGTGTGGATCGGTGTCATTTAATGCCCACCTTCAAAAGCAAAAGGTCACATCAACTCGTGAACCTTCATGCGTAGAAACGAGCTGACTTATCTAAAATGTTCATTGAATTCACGGCAACACGAGTATCGTCGTTCCCCGATCTGTTACGGAAGCCGATCCGTAGCGTCGCTCATTTGCGCATGCGCTAAAAGTAATACTTCCGGGTCGCACGGATCACCGTTGATTTGAATAATTTTCCTAAACAATGTTATAATTCTGTTTATGAATAAGAACAGTCTTAATTAGAAAAGTACGATCTTCATGTTGCTAATTTACACCACTCGTATTTCCGTTGAAATCATTGACATATTAACCCTGCAAGATGCAGAAAGAATTATTTCCATGGTGAAACAGCGCCGCCCAGTGGTTTGTTCCACTTTGGTTGTGGGAAGAATCAGTTTTGTGTTGTGTGTTTACTTGACTGATGAAGCCTTCTGGATGGAAGGTGAAACGTTTCAGCACAAAAAAAAAAAAAAAAAACTGTCCAGATGACCTGACTAAAAATTGTTGGATTGTATACCTGGATTATTGAGCATGGACTTTGTTGGTTTTGAACCAGTTTGACATGACTGTCGATGAGGGAGATGGCCAAAGACACCATCTTAGCACAAACATAACTGGTTTGTTCCACTTTGGAGTAAGCTGTTGGGAGACTAATCAGTTTTGTGTTGTGTGTCTCCTTGACTGATGAAGCCTTCTGGATGGAAGGTGAAACATTTCGGCACAAAAAAAAAAATACCTGTCCAGATGACCTGACTGAAAATTGTTGGATTGTATACCTGGATTATTGAGCATGGACTTTGTTGATTTTTATTTACCCTAAATATGCGTTGCATACCATTTTAACCAATTATGTAAATATGTCAATGATTTTAATGGAAATACGAGTGGCGTAAATTAGCGACATGAAGATTGTACTTTTCTAAATAAATTAAGACAATTAAGATTGTACTTTTCTAAGTTAAACGCCGGTGAAGATTCTCAATCATCCAGGACATGATAAATTAAAAGTGGTCTTCTGTTACAAATAAAGTCCAGTTGTTTTTGTCTTGAACTTTTTTAAATTTTCAAAGTAAATTACAATTCTTATTCATAAAAGGAATTATAACATTGTCTAGGAAAATGAATCAATTTATAGAAATGGATATTTTAATGAATATTAATAAATATGTTATGTTTCATAAATGTATTTTATAAATATGTGTTGTATTAAATCAACTTACAGGATATTTCCAGTTCATTTTCCTTAATTTTGCATATTCAACAGCGAGACCTGTGATCCGGAAGTATTACTTTTAGCGCATGCGCAAATGAGCGGACACTATGGATCGTGCTTCCGTAACAGATCAGGGAATGTATAAAGAAATTATACTAACAAGGGGAGGAGATGTTCCATCCAAAGGCTATGTGGCTATAACCAGGTCTCTCTTGTAAATGAGTCCCAGAGTCTCAATGGGATTAACCTGAATCTGAATTGTACTGCGATTTTATCTTGCTTTACAATGTTTTGATTGGTGTTTACACCGACTGACACAAGTTCTTCGATGGCTAAAAGTAGGTCCGATTTGTGAACAGCATCTAAACATTTATCATTTTAATCCTGAACAAACAAGGTCATCCTTCAGGGGTTCGGCATGGCATGCACGCAGCTCATCAAATGTGTTGGTATTCAAAATTATGTCCACCCTTGGTGCACATGAAGTACCACTCAAGGCAGTGAGGTGCACTGGTCTCCAGGATCTTTGTTGAAATATCACCGTTCTCCAAATTAAACTCATGAACAGCTTTAGTCTTGTAGCCTTGTTGTTGGTAGCCTTCTTTTGGGGCTGAGATGGGGTAGAGGTAAAGCAGCCGGGACCAAAAAAATCGCGGCTCAACTCCCAGCCGTTCCCACATGTTGTGGTGTCTCTGAGCAAGACACCTAATCCCTAATTGCTCCCCAGGCACTTGCATAGCTGCCCGCTGCTCCACCTGGGTGTATCTCATGTGATGGGTTAAATGCAGAGAACTAATTTTGCCATTGTATGGAAACATACAAAGATGACGGTCTCAAACTTCCATTCCCTTCTGCTAGCTTGTTGTTAAACCAACAGAACAGAATTACCCTTTCTGGTCAAGTGTCCTGCCCAGTGAGGTTGATGTTTCATGAAGTAGTCTTCTAAGCTGACCGTCTTCCAGCATTCTAAACCTTCAGAGTTTTGTGTATTTTGTTAATTTGCGAGAATGTGCTTTCATCTAGTTGGCTTATGTTCCTACAGAAAACCAGACAACCTCTCCTAAATTGAAACCATCTTGTGCTGCCTTCGCTCCTTACACCTGTAGTTCCCCACAAACACACGTTAAAACATACATCAAAGGTTTAAGAAGATTATCGTAACTCTTGTTACCTTTGGTCTATTTGGCGTTCTTCAGCTTTCTACCCCAATCAGTTGGGAAAACAGCAAAGTTGAATTTGCGTTGAGGTAACGTACTGTACGTGTTTTGTTTGAATCACTTTGTGTTCGTCTCTTACAGGAAAACCCAAAGTTGAGTTGACCTACGACAAGATGTACACGGTAACCAGTCGGGTGGCGTTCGCCGTCAGTAAGGAGGATGATGGCGTACCTGTGATTTGTATCGTGGACCATCCTGCAGTCAAGGACTTTCGAGCACGTAAATTCCTGGAGGTGCAGTGTAAGTACCTCAGCTTTCCAATCCTAAAACCCTTTGCAGACATTTTAATTATGGATTATTTTCTGCTTTCAATGATGTAAGGTGACATGATGATGATATCACAGTAGATTATCTTATCGTTTATGCTTGTGGTATTTTCCACATGTGCAAGATTTGACAAATATATTGCCACAGTACAATATTTCCTTGCATTTGATGGTTGTGTATCATGGAGGCAGTTGAAAATCACATAAGCTTGTTGACTTAGTGGTTTAAAAAAAAAAAACTCTAAAATTACTTTGTATCTATAATGTTTTTATTCCACTAAGTGTAGTTGGAGTGCTGTAAATTTTAGGATAATGCTTGTTTCCACTTCACCTTGGTGCACTTCCTACATGACCACCTCTTTTCCGGCCACTTTGTATGTTTTTAAAGTGGAAAATTGTGGCTGCAGCTTAATACAGTAGAAACGATGGAGTTTTCTCAACAGCTTTGTGGGAATCGTGCTAAGATGTTGCTGCTAAAAATAAAATGGAAAACAGTGGTTTATATATATTTAGGTTACATGGTTGCACTCTTTTTGTGTTACTTGGTCCAACTCACAAAAACTACCATAAAACTTTTATGACCAGATGACCAGAAACCAATACTGTTATTTTATTTTTTTTAACTAATGGAAATTAATGCATGTTTGAAAGGTTTTTAAGTGCAAAACAAAGGCAGCGGAACTTGCTGGAATCTGGATTTTTTAAATTTTATTTTAGTTTTTAGTTTTATTAGTATTGAGTGTCACTAAAGGGGACATATAAGAAGCTTTCAGTGTGATTCTGTACTTTATCTTCATGCATAGTTTAGTCAGTAAATATTTAGACAGATTAAACTAGGAGTGTCCCGATACTAGTTTTTTAAGACCAACTTCAAGTACTTTAGTTTGGTTACTTTCCAAACACAGCAAATGTCGGGATCTGTGTGTTTTGTGGTGTTTTTGTCTTCTTGTGATTATTTTATTTAGGTTTTTTTTTATCTGTTTTACTTGTGTTTTCAGCCTCCCCAGTGTTTCCCCCCTCATGTAGTTAAACTCCTGCTCCTCCCACTCACCTGATCCTCATCGTCTCTCCCCAGGTGTTTGTCATTGTCTATCGTTAGTGTCCCTTTAAACCAGGGGTGCCCAAACTTTTTCAGCATGCGAGCTACTTTTGAAATGACCAAGTCAAAGTGATCTACTTACTATAAGGCCCCGTTTACACAAGAACAACCTCTGGAAATGTTTGTGTTTTTTCAATGTTTATTGGGTGTAATAAACAAAAAATGAGCAGGTTTACATGAAAAATGCTGTAATTTCCATGTCAGTTGGGTTGCCAGATAAGAAATTATGAACTATAGTACTGTGGCTTTAAAATTATAGTATTTTGACCTAAACTGTCATATGTGCTGAGTAAAGATGTTCTAAGATTCAATTAAATTCAGTGTATTTATACAGCGCCAAGTCACAAAAGAAATCGTCTCAGGTCACTGAACAGAAACATCCATATACACAAAATAAAAAGTTAACAAAAACGTTCATATAAAATAATAATTTAACACTATTTGTCTGAGGAGCAGACTGCTTTGAGTTCAACTCCATCGCAGAACTCTCATCTTGAGCAAGATGAAGTTTGTGTTGTTTTTCAAACATGTGCACAGAAAAGGAGGTGGTAAATAAGACATTTTAAATCTATCTGGCAACCCCGGGCTCAGCTGTATTCATTGTGCATGCAGCGACTGCATGATCACAGTTGTCCAAACTGGTGAATAACGTCTCTTTTTGGACCCTGGATTTTATTAGTTTTGCTCCTAAATGTTGAAAAAGGGTGAGTAGCACCAAAAAAAAAAAATTTATTTAAAAAATATTTTTTCACACATTATATTTTTTTGCCCTCATGTACAGGTAACGTGGACTAGGAAATGGCATTGCCAAACATAAAGGTGGTATCGATTTGAAGTATCGGGGTGTTTTTGAGTATAAGTTAAAAAAAAAATTAATATATAAATTTATTCATTTTTTAAAAACAAAACAAAACAATTCCATAAACGATAAGAAATACAATCAAAAATAAAATGAAAGGCAGCAGAAGGAAGAAAAAGTCTTGTTATATCGATGAGTACTTTTTTCATTCAACCTTTATTTAGACTTGAAACTGGTATCAGGCTCAAGTACTTGTACTAGTACATATTTAGTCAGTCAGGGTAATTCTGCACTAAATTAATCCAAATTCAAATCGAAACAATATTTTTTTGTAATTTTTTAGCCGTTTTGCAAAACGTCTATTATGTTTGTGATAAAAGTGTAAACACTTAAAAATCTATTTTGGGACATTTAAATTTACATTTAAATTTGATTATAATAAATATTATATTATTATTTACTGTAGCCTTCCACGACAGGCCATTTTGTTTTTATCTGAGTGTTTGTTTGTTGCGTTAGCAAAATATCTCACGTTTCATTGTGTCTTCAGGAATCCCCTTAGAGTTGATTTGGCTGTTTTTTTTGCTGTTAAACATTAAACATTATGCTGATTTGCGATTTCTTCTCATTGCAAGTGAAACCAGATATTCTTAAGGTGACTGGAGACGCATACTGTGTCCATCAGTGAAACTACAGAAAGAAACTGTGTCCTAATCAAAGGTTGGTGCATGCTGAGGAACAAGAATACATGAAAAGGAGGAAAACACCGGTGATCTTGGCAACATGAAAAAGGTGTCAAAGTCTACAAAGGACATCACGCAGTAGAGCAAAATGTCTTCACAGCATCTGGCCAAGTAAAGAACACTCTGCAGGAGGTCGGCATTTCATAACCCAAACTTACCATAAAGAACAAAAAAAACACCTATAGAGAAAATTCAGCACAAGGCGCAGGCATTTCATAAACCTCAAAGGCAAGACTGCACCAAAACCCATTAAAAAAACAAATCCATTTAGTGCAATTTACGACAGATCAAGCTAAGTTTTACTTGTGCCAGAATGGCAGAAATAAAAGTAATATGGAGACACTTTGGAACGGCTCGTAATCCAGATCATTCATCATCTCTGAAACGTGATGGCATGGTCTCGCATGAATGCTAATGGCACCGGGTCACTCCTTTTTATTGATGATGTGACAGAAGACAAAAGCAAATGAAGAAGAGCACGGACATTACCCTAGCAACGCTGCAACACTACATTAACTTTCCTTGTTTCAACTAATTGGAGTCTCGGATTTTTATAACGTGGCGTTTTGGATCTTTTTTTGGTCATAATGCAAAATTGTAACCTTTATTATTTTAATGTCTCTGTAACCTTATGTTTTTTTGCCCGCTGGCACGTCCTATCATTCTGTTTAAAAAAAAAATAAAAATTTGCTCTGTTGCTATCTGACCTTTCCCTGTTAACGCAAGAGGAAGAGATCAGTGCATCTACAGAGGCAGAATGGCATTTTGCTGGCGTCTGATAACAGGGAGCTAGCTCACAGAGACCACCTACTCAGAGCCGCGCAGTGCTTCAAGCAGGGGCTCCTGCTGCCATGCTCTCTGCACACTGTAATGTGCAACAAACAAGCACAGCCAGTTCCGGACTCTCTTTGAACTAAATAACACTGCTGAAATGTGCTGAAGAAAGTTTAGAACTTGTTTAGAATATTTCTGAACGGTTTCGCCTAAAATAGATCTGTAATGATCTGTGCAAAGTGCACTGCAGCTTGAATAAAAGCATCAAAACAGTGCATCAAAAGCAAATTAGGAAACCATTTTCACCACTTTATCAATACAGCCTCAACAGTTAGGATAATAGACGTGTTTGTGTGGATCCGTCATAACTTGGTAAAGCATTTTTATGAGTTTCTCCACAGTTTTTTGCAACATTTGTCTAAGAAACAAAATGTCTGTTACTGTATTATTGGTCTATTATTGGTTAACCTGATTAGAAGAGGTTTGCTATTGATAAAGCTGAGTCAATGGAGCAGCCGTTAATATTTATGCTCCTCACTTGTTAAAAGAAATTGTTCAGGCGTTCTTTTGTTGCCCTGGGGTTGTGTGGTGTAGTTATGAGCCAGCAGTGTCTTACCTGCAGTAGAAAATGGCCACATTGTTGGAAGAATCAGGGAGAAATTATCAATGTGGAGTCGAGCTAACTGCTACTCAGATCAGGAACTATTAGGGGGGGATTTTTGCAGTTGTTAATATAATTTTTTGTCTTTTTCTATTTTAATTGCTTTGGTGTTGCCACCTGTTGGCATGGCAGTGGTATTGCAAATTTGCTAGAATTGGGGCTAGATGACTAGATGAATAATTTATGTCTCTAATTTAAAATAAATAAATAAATTCAGATCTGTGTTGTCAAAGTGTCTCGATCTGAATAGCTGTCAGCTGACCCCTTAATAAAGGTTTTTCCTGATTTTTCAAGTTGATGACACCTGTCTGCTGCTGGTAAGATACTGAAAGGTCACATAGACGCCTTAAAAGTGCACTTTATGAAAGAAAAAAATGTATATATTCATGTTTAATCTATTATTGATTGAACCTTCATTGAACATTTTAACTTGTAAATTCATCATTGTGTCTAAAGTTAGCATCACAGTTCCTAAATTTTAACATAATTCATTCTATGCCTTGATTTTTTTAAAGTCATGTAAGGAATGAATTTGTACAGGATGTCTGCGTGTTTGTTTTTATTTGATTTGGCTTTTATTTGTATACGTGTTGGCAAAATGTGAGTGAGATAAAGTGCATTGGTTTGCCAAAAAAAAAAGGCCATTGTCAGGGAACACTCTAATCAAATAAAGCTCTAATGGTTATGTGTGTAAGCAAAGCAAGCAGCTGGATTTGCTGCCTGGTTGGTTTTCCTTTAAGGTCATCTGGCTGCGGGGAGATGGATAGTGCCATCTTGAGTGCTTATGAGGTGAGGCGCACAATAAAGCAAATAATTCAGTTAGCATAATGATAACAGCCTTCCTGCATACAGTAGACAGTATTTCACTGAAGTGGCAGTATGCGGATCTGGCACTGAG